ACATTTGTGACGTCATCAATTAGTTTTAAGTGCTAGCCAAGTGAGAAACAAGCACTTTTAATCTATTCACGTAATTGTGTTTATCATAAGTATAAACGGTGTAAGCAGTTAAACTACGGGGTGATTTTTTAATTGTCTTAATAGATAATATGTTATCTAAGGAATAAAATTGTTGCCAGCCATCATAATTAGGTACTTAGATATTCCCCAGAAAACTGTTATATTGTTATCTTACCATTGAAATACTAGCCCTAAATTGTTTTATTGGTAATTTATTAGTATTTTAAGCGTTTTCATCTGTAGGTAATCCTCGCATGAATATTATCTATCACTAATTTTGTTGGCGATTGCGTATTTGTTTTTCTATGGACTCACGGGCCTCCGATGAAGCCATCTAGATTTAAAATAATGATGACGTGGAACAGATTGATAGGTAGGTATAGGTTACCATTGTTCTCTTGTGGAGGGAAAATCATCAAATGACTTTTCTCGTCAAAGTTATGGCGAGAGGAGGTGTCAGAATACGACTGACTAAAAACTTCCATTTTTTTCCTGCTCCAGGCCGAGACCGCGGTACTTACCTTATTACGCTTGAGAAAGAAAGATAAAGATAACCTACCCAAGCATTCTATGACGAAACCTACTTAGTTTTCTATTGAAACTTAGCAATGTTTTTAATAATTGCCTTACTTTAGGATTTTTCTCCTGTATCTACCGTTGTCGTTGCGTTTTTAAACACACAAGCATAACTACTACCTAATTGATTTTTCATTGTTTTTATAATAACTATAGTGAGACATAGGTACTAAATTAACTAAAAATCGCTGGTTACTCACGTGTATACTTATATATTGAGATTAGCTCTACTAGTTTCGAACCACAGAGGGGTTCTTCCTCATGAGCAGCGTGCGCGGACGCGGCGACGTCGCGCAACCACTACTGGAACCCCTCTGTGGTTCGAAACTAGTAGAGCTTTTCTCAATATACACACATTATTTATACATTGACTTAGAACAACTATTTGGAGATCATACATACCTACCTACCTATAAAGTATTGTTATCGTGATTTAAGATACATTGAGGTACTTATACCTAGAAATAAAAATAAATAGCAACAAATTTCCAGTTCCCCTTACACAGACTTCGTCGTAGAGACATACGCAACAAGTTATTGATTTGTTTTGACAATAACACATTTACATAAATAAACACGCCGACGGAATCATGCTGTTTATAATCTTCGTAAAATTACGTCGATAGAAGGGTTGTTGAAGTTTAATAAACCATTATCTCAAATTTATTATTACGCCTGCTAATTATTCTTCGAACCAGAGACAAGAGCGTGACGAGATGTAATGATATTATAAAAAAAAATATTTTCCCGCTTTTTTCACCCTTCGCAGCGGCCATATTGTCAGGTGTAACCGCGAACCGGAACGCCGCCGTGCCAGTCGCCGGCTCCGTTTCCAAATTCATCCCTTGTTATTAAAAAATCTAATTACAAATAGGGTTTTTAAAGTATGAAGGAAAATCTACTCTAACTTCTACATATTTGGGTATACATTTGATTGGTTTTATCTTTTTCATTGAAGTTTAAAGGGTAATGACGTCATGAAGGAAAAAAATGTTCTGGAAAGATCTATGAGTAGAGGAAAGTACTGCCATAATATACAATTAGGCAGCAAATTTTGCGTCGGCCAAGGAGACCCACATGATCAGTGGAGTTAGACGTCTGTTGACAACCTTTTGGAGGATTGTCGGATTGGGAGATTTGGGGATTTAGGAATTGGGGTTGAGGGAGGGGATGATTGAACATCCGTTAACCACACTTACACGCCGGTTTTCTATAAGGCTATGTTAACATTTATGTCCAGCCGAGCCCAAGGCTCGCTTACACTTGAAAGTTGACTTGTACTAGTTATCATAAACAAATACTTAACCAACGCGCCTCAAAGAGCCAATAGACCACCACAGACGGGGCCCTATAGGGCTGATGTTCAGCCGGGGTTGCGGGGTAAGCGCAATGAGGCACCGCGACCTCGGCCCAGAGCAGGTGAAAGAACAGGGGGTTTTTAGTCAGTAAGAGTCTGACACTCCCTCCCGCCCGGCCCTGGGCGGGAGAAGTCATTTGATGATTTTCCCCTCACAAAAAAAACTTACGTAGGTAGCTTATTGTCAATTAGAGAAGTTATTATTACTTAGCTAAGTTACTGTGTCAATGGGCGACACCGATTGCTTACCATCAGGTAGGTACTCAGTCTGTTCGTTTCTCGACCGATCGCATAAAAAAAGCTTAGATTCGTATACATTTAGTTACCTATCCTATAATATGTAGATCCATCTATACCTGGCCTAGACAAATTATAATAATGACATCACCGGTTGGATTCTCAACAATTTCAAGTACCTACCTACCTTCAATTATTTCCGACGTCATACATACCTAAATGTACAATCATCATACACCTACAAATGTACCTACACCAAAACAGAAAGGTCACATTTAGGGTTACAACGACCTTTGACCTCTCGGGTCATTACATTTCAGATTACGAATAAACGTCTTAAAAGTCTGAACAAACGTAACGCGTTCGTAATATCACGTTTCATGCAAATTATATTGACAATGGATTTTATTGAAATCAGTGCGAAGACCTCTTGAGGCTTTCATATTTAAAACTTTTACTCCCTTATTACAAAACAAGATTTATCTGTCTTAACCATTGAGTCGGTATTTTGAATCTTATTTTTATCTACCTTCAAATCGAAATGCAAAAACTGGCTCAATGGTTTCGACCTAGACTAAAGAAAACCTTGTTTTGTAATAAGGCCGATAATATTTATTAATTTGGTGAAGTTGTTATGTCAATCGAGCTTAAATCATATTTTGCGCAGGTTGAAAAAAAGAAAGAAGCCTAAAAAAAGATTAGGATTTCAGTCTGCTTGTGACCACGACCTTTGCAACCGAGTCGGAACGTCAAGCCTACCAAGGTATTCAAATAATAATTTTCCGTGTTAATACTAGCGTAAATATGTTGTTTATATGAAACGCCAAAGTTAAAAGTTAGTATAAGATTAGGATTATACCTCCCTCCCATGTGTTACATACAATAGGTACACACACATATGTCACGCGTTAGTTAGTCCATAATACCCTGAAGCAGGCAAGCTGTAGAGTAGGTAACAGCGTGGAAAAGTTAAAGATAGAAAGTGTGTTAACGTTTAATCAGAGAATTCAGAAAGACGATAAACCAAGAACTAGTCATATCAGTATTACATACGAAACGCTTGTTTTTTTTATGTAAGTAGTTGATCGTCATACTTACGAGCGGACGTATTACCTGATGGTAAGCAATCAGCGCCGCCCATTGGCACCCGCAACACCAAAGGAGTTACAAGAGCGTCGCCGGAATTTCGGGATAAGAAAGAAATAGGCATGCAATTTTAGGTTTTCACAAAAACTTAAACCTATTTTAGTTTAGTAGTTATGTATTTGTGTCGTGGTGGCCCGGAGGTTAAGGAGCCCGCGTCTCAACACTCTCGGAGTGGGTTCGAAACCTGGCAAGAACCAATAATGTGACTTTTCAGAGTTATAAGTATGTACTTTCTATGATTATTTAGACACCACTGACATACGGTGAAGGTAAACATCGTGAGGAAACCTGGACTTATAATTTCTAATTATAAGTTTGTAATCGCCAACCCGCATTGAGCAAGCGTGGTGATTAATGCTCAAACCTTCTCCGTGTGAGAAGAGGGCCTTTGCTCAGCAGTGGGCACTTATAGGCTGATGATGATGATTAAGTATCTATACCTAACATAACTGACGCCCATGCTGCTCTAGAATAAGAGTTCCGTTGTGGCTTGAAACTAGTAGAGCATTTCTCAATTAATTCACGTGAGAAAGTCGTTATTTTTAATAATGAAATAACTTGAATATCAAGTTTCATTAAAATCGATGTTAGTCTCCATGATTTTGGCATTGAAAAAATGTTTTAAAACCACGAATAAAAGCTCCAAGGCATTTTTCAATCGTCAAAGCAAAAATGATCGTCTATTGGTTGGTTGCACCACGAAACCCACAGGCTAGCATGTGCGACATTTCCATTCCACTGAATCATTTATCGGCATAAAGTAAACAAGGGGTCTGAACGACACTGGACAAGCACTTGCCTTAATTCTCTATTTAAGCGGATCAAATATATTGGAGCTTTACAAATTAATGCGTGGTTCCAACATTTCCTTTGTACAAGGGGTTTTTAAGTATGCTAATGCTATGTTTGAGTTATCTATGAATAGGTGAAAAAAACTAAAACTGTATAGGTACCTACTCATATTTTTATGCTATTATGTTAATATTACATATGGATATTGTAACTAGGTAATTAAATCAAGGAAAAATATATTTTAGGGTCCACTAGTCGTGAATTCAGACATTCATGTCAGGATCAATTGACGTCATTATTATTGTATAAAAAAATTAAAAATTGTTTTGAACAATGACTTAAAAACTTCGCTTACTGAATGACAACTAAGGACGACATAAAACACACATGAATGGGCTAAATAACTAATTGAAAATGTGAGTGATATCACGGAAGTACCCGCACGAGCCAGCTCGTGACGATATGCCTCAGAAACCATCGATCAGGCCCGCACTTGGAGCACCAGGGATCATAAAACCGTCATTAATATTTATACTTGGTAAATATCCGCTGACAATAACTGTACTTTTATACGTTTGCGGTATTTTAAGGGCAGCGTTGTCATGATGGTGGTAACTCCTGTGGAAGTCAACATCTGGTGGTGGCAGACTGGTGCCCAGTGAGGACTCGGTCCGGTCCTGCGTCCGATAACCGTGACTAATTGTCCGGAGCTATCAGCGATGCGGGCCGGCGTTGTCTTGCGGTGGAAAAATATCGATCGCAGCACACACCTGTTCGGAATCGTTCGACGGTGCACACAATGGGGCGCGCACCTGCCCACTAGCTCGCGCGCCGCCGCTCCGCGCGCACACACGCACTCGACGCCGACGCGACACCATGCGCGCGGGGGGGCGCCGCTGACCGCCGCGACGTCACGCCGGCCGCGCCGTCGCCGATCGATTCCCTTCGGACATCTTGGACAACACCGTCCACCACCTTCTTTTTTCTCAGGTAATACAAGCCAAGTGATCAACTAGTTCCAATTCCAGTGTATTATTATTCATAATTCAAAGAAATCGAAGTTTCCGATATAGCTGATTCATCAGCAAGGTGACTCATCAGTTCATTGTCGCAACATTTTCAGGGCGAGCGATGTAGTAGGCCGCGATGCATATAACGTCAAGCCAGTCTCCGGCGTCTGGCGAGATGCTGGACACGACGTCGCTCAATTTTTACGGAGATGCAGGAGACCAGTACGGCACGACGTACTTCGCTGTGGACCACACGGTCCCGGAGTCATCCCATACAGTCGAGATAGAATACGTGTACGAGCAGCCGGACACGTATGCCATCAACCAAGAAGATGTAGAAACGGATGTGCAACAGAATAACCGAGTCGTCGCGGTTGATCAAGTGGAATACTCTAAAAAGGTACGCAGCAAACACAAGCCTAACAAAATGGTTGTAGACGAGGAGCCGGAGGCTGACCTCACGAACTTGACGTGGCTGCAGAATATTACGAACATAATGTCGGTGCCGCAGTTTCCGATCCCTCCTGTGTCGCCGGGTCCGCAAGTGAAGACACAGCCGCAGAACACGAGGCTGCAGAAGTTCAACCAGACGATAGCGAAGTGTCAGAAAGACTTTACGGAGAACAAGCACGAGTATCGCACGAACAGTGAGAAGAAGCCGCCGTACTCTTACAGCACCCTGATCTGCATGGCGATGAGGTACAACAACGACAAGATGACGCTCTCCGCGATATACTCGTGGATCAGGGAGAACTTTAAGTACTACAGGAACGCCGACCCCACCTGGCAGGTGAGTGCTATCGCCCCAGTAGGAATGCTCATGATTTAATAAACGTGTGATACGCAAACATTGTGATAAGATTACGCCTAATTGGATTCATGAATAGGGAGTCGAGTGTTTGATTGATACGTTTATTGGATATTTGATTAGTGATTGCTATAATATTCGCGGGCGCCAAAAATAAATTTAATTAGGCAGGTCTTTAACCATGTCGCGAACCATTTTTATTAATGTGTACGTTATTACACAACTTGTGTAACAGTATTTCCAAATGTTAAACATAACCAAGTCACAGATTTTTCAACTAGTAATTCAAGTGTTTTCTTCAACTTTCAGAATTCCATCAGACACAACCTGTCACTGAACAAAGTGTTTGTGAAAGTAGCTCGATCAAAGCACGAGCCGGGGAAAGGTGGCTTTTGGAAACTCGATCTCGCACACTTAGAAGGAACTAAACGAATCTCAAATAGACCTCATAAGAAAAAGAAAGCAACATCCAAGGAAAAAGCCACAGAGGAAAAAACTGCAGTCGCTAATATTCCGCAGGTCAATGCAGTAGAAGAAATGTCAAATGAAATAAATCAGGCTGTAACGTTGCATTTACCTGATTTCAATCTTGGGAGCATTCAGAGTCTCCCTGACATTGATTTGGAGACGAATATAGGAGCTAATGTGATCGTGGAGCCAGCTGTACCGCCTCCACTGATGCCTGAAGATGACCTGTCGTCCCTGCTCCTCAACCCCACGGACTGGGACGACTTACAGCTAGATATGTTGGATAATTACCTAGACTCATGTTTCAAGTAAGATTTTAAATATTTCTTGTTAGTCATATCCGATCCAACTCGATGTTAGGAAGTGTACAGTTTTATCGTTTTAATAGTCGATATATATCGATAGTATATTTCGTAATAGACCGATTTGCTACTGTGACTGCGACATGTAATGTTAGTGTTGTTTTTCGAGATAATTAATATTTAACTGTGCCTTTTCACGTGAAAAATGTCTAGAATTAATGAAAGCCGTCCTTTAAATAAGAATTGAAAATTTATAACTATATTATTGCTAAATTGGGTAAAATAATGTAATCTATTCATAAACGTCGCATCGTCGGAAATCTGGGATAACAGTTAATCAAACACTTCATTTCATTTTACGCGTATACTCTTCGCGTATTTCTATCAACTCGATGTGAATAAACTTTTATATTTATTTAATTTTTACAAGTTACATAATTTAATCTAGTCAACAAAAGGCTTTTGCGAAAGATTAGGTAGGTATTTTAATGTTGAATTCGTTTTATACGTAAACTTGTAGAGAAATTCGTAGTAAGGAACACTATTAAGTATTACTTACAGTTTCACTTGAACGTGTTTAAAAAGTCAATAGATGTTAGATTTTTATTATTTAAACATATCATTATGTCGTACAAAACGCCAGAATAATAATTAATATCCTACATGGTGTAATTAGTTTATTGTTTGTAATATTAGTATTTAAGGCAAAATTTATTAAATGAAGCCGTCCTATACTTATCTTATACACACACAATATCGCAAACATGTATCAAATGCAGGTACTCGTACCTAAATTAGTATGAAAATGTATTATTGCTGTCAGGGTAAAAAAAAAACAATTTGTATCAGAATACGATTATATTCATATTTAGGTATGATTAAATAGGCCTTATAAAATGTCATATAACAATAAAAGTGTGTAGGGCAAATACCTAACTGAGCCGGTAGTTAAAATACGTATAATTTTGTTCAAAACGGCACTTCTACAAACGGCTACAATAAACGGCATAATGAGAATTAAAATTATGTTTATCGAGGTATGAAATACTTCAAAACCTATTTGTCTCAAAATTAATAATTTTGCTCAAACAAAGCTCAGTTGTTTGCCTAATAAATTGGGTTACAAATAATATACCTAGCAGTATTATAAAAAAATATGCACAAATAATTTGTAGCAATTTATTTACTTGTTAGATTGTAAATCTATGCGTTACTTTAGAGTTAATAAGTAAGTCAGAACAAGCACAGAGTCGGACAAAAAACTGACCGTTTCAAGTCGTTTAAAAATAAAACAATTAACTTATTACACGAAGCGATGAGTAAGTTCTATAATCGTAGAATTCTAGGTCATTAATATTGATCTGCATTTAGAAGGTTAGTCATTAAAATATCGATTTTTCTTACACGGGGACAATAAATCATTTAACTTCTAACTAAATATATGTCTTAAAAAGTCAAAGTGATTAATTAATTCCAAACGTGTGACGTTTGAATTGTCAAAAAAATAAAAAGTTAACATATTGTCGGATAATTCTATAGTAAAGCTATTTGCTTGTTCCTAAATGTAGATGAAACATAAATGTATACAATGGAAAACAACGAGCAAGAAACTACATGGCTACTCTTTTGCAATCGGTTTCACAATCTAATACTTGGACAATTACACAGATATATAAACAAAATTTATAGTTTTCGTTAGTAAATGTGCAGGCAGATGTTAGAACTAGCTTACTCAGCTGATGCAATGTGGGTAAAATGTGAACATTTACTTTCTTTTCTTGGCAATTTAGCAAGTGTAGTAGACTATTGCAAAGTTTATTGTATTAAAAGTCCGAAAAAAAAATAAAACTTCTTACACAAGTAACCTACATACATGTATCTGAAATTAACGAATAACAGAAAAAAATAGACATCATTCTTAGTTATTAACTCTAAATACGCAATCAATTTAAGCTATTGTGTAAAAAAATGACACATTTACCGCTCAGTATTACAATGTACAAAGTATTAGTAAATTTATTTTTTACTTATAAGAAGTGTGGCAATATTTTATATTTATATAAATTGTATCTACCTATATATTATTATGTTATTTTCTAAGTGTCTTATGAAGCATTATCAGATAATCCGTCCAGTATTATGAACAGTCAACTGTTTTGAGAGGATTTTGCTCAGAAAAGATATAAATATATGTGTAAAATTTAAACAAAAGTGTATACCTAAGCTTAAGTGTAGTATTATTGGATTGACAGTTAACGCTTTTTTAATTATTGTTATTCTCAAGTTGTCAGCATACAATACATAGTAATTAAAATTTGATGAGTGTAACATAGCAATAAATATTTAAAAAGTTACGTTATGTATACCTTTACCAATTTTTCAAATTTTGGAAGACAAACTTCAGTACCAAGTAGTTCCAACAGTATTATGTCTCTTTACTAGCTTATATAAATATATTTTTTAAGAAACGAATGTATCCGTAACCTATTAAATATTATTCAGATAGCAACTTTTCTATACTTAGCAAATTAGCATATTATCTTGTGTTAGATTGAATGTGGACAAACACATAAATATGTAAATTAATTTACATGCACAATGTTAGTAAATAAATATGGTGTTTAATTATTATAATGTAAAGTTTCGTAGATTTTAATGTAGAAAAATCTTCCGTCCGTGAGTGTCTTAAAGATTGTACCTACCTACTTATAAAAAAAAAATTAAAAAATCTAGAGGTATCTTACAGGATATCCTTCTAGTTTCTTGTAAAATGAAATGTTGAAATGGATTTTAGTTAATTAATAATTTGTAGTAATTAATTGCCTCTTTGGTCGAGATCCCCTGATCTTGGACTGTATTTTCGGGTCGGGAAAAGTACTATTTGGTTTTTGTACGTGGAAATTATCTGTATTTGAAATTGTTCCTGATCTTTGACAGGATTTGGCAAGAGCTCTTTATAGCAAAAAGGACTAAGGGTATACGACCTCTTTTTGACTTTGGATGATATACCTAAGAGATGTGTTATGGATGTATTTTATACATATGTATATTAATTAAAACATTTAATGAAACGTGGTTAAAAGGGCTCCATCACGTTTGTCCCTGAATCGATATAAAATGGAATAATTATCGAAAACGAAAAAAGGCAAAAAAATTATAAGTATGCTGTTTAATAAAATATGCGTACTTTACGCAGAAAACATGATTTATGTTAAAAATGGAGTCTGTCGATGAACTTTAAGTAGCTACTCTTAAAAAGAAGATAGGTACGCAGGCGTTTAAAAAAACCGTAAAGAAAATGAACTAAAGAATACCCAGTGAATTAGGCATTTCTTGATATGTCTGATAATGTTAAGTGCCTGCAACATGTACTAGTCATATTTAATATCGTGTTTACGTGTTTAGATATTAGGATTATAGAAATGTGAAAACGAAATAATAATACTTAATTGTAATTTATTTTGTATAACTTACAAATAGTAATGTATAATTATTTAAAAATAATTTCTTGTGGCACAAATATCAATTTCTTATTGTAAAAATTAATTTGGAGTACCTACTGCGTACTATTTTATTAGTTAAAACTTATTTATTACAATTTGGTACGATTTAAAAATAATATATAAGTAACAAAGTAAATAGCACCATTAATCATAAATAGGATTTTATTTGTTTATAATTAATGTGAAATAATCATTTTTACACCATTTTAGGTAATTCTTACAATACTAATTCAAAAAGTATTCATTCTAATTAATATATGTAATTAAATCGTACCAAAATTGTTTGGTTTAAAAAAATGGTTGTTTTTAAATTGACGCTCAAAACATTACGCGATTTCATGTTTAGAAGTGTCCTTAACATATTCAATAAAGTGTTACAATATAATAGTGTTGTTTTCTTACCAATTGTGCCTATAGGCACACACTTTTTTTTCATCGTTTTAGATAATATTTTTCCCCGTGCGAAAGAGGTCTTAATTTTTTTTAAGCGATAAATTTACAATCTAGCTTTCGGATTACCTGATGGTAAGCAATCTTTGCCACCCATGGACACTCGCTTCACCAGAGGAATGACGAGTGCATTGCGCAGGCCTTTTGAGGATTAGGGTTTAAGAGATTGGGGAGGAGTCGGGAAGGATTGGCCTGTAAGGGATTAGAGTTTCTGAGATTTTTTTTAAGTGTGGGAGAGCCATGCTTCGGCACGAATGGGTCGGCTCGACCGGAGTGATACCACGGTCTCACAGAAAACCGGCGTGAAGCAACCACGGCGTTGTGTAATGAAACACAACGCTAAGGTTGTTTCAAGCCGGTTTTCTGTGTAGCTGTGGTATCACTTCGGCTGAGATGATAATACTTAAAGTAGTCTCGCCCTGGGAAGGGCGAAAGGGAGTTTTAGTCTTAGTGACTCCGAATCGAATCCGATTCCTCCCCTGCTCCAGGCTGCATTATAGCGCTTGCCCCCAACCCCGATTAGTACACACATTAACATTATGGTTTATAACTATTGGCTTCCTTTTAGAGAAAATGGAGGTTTTAAGTTTTCGTTTAAGGCCTTTTTAAAGTTGTGTACTTCCACTTATAAAGTAGTTACGCTATTCAAGAAGACAGAAATGACTATTTCATTAAGATTATTGGAATGTTTCACAATTAATATTCTTTTTTTATAAATTTGTATAATAAATTTGTGTTTTTTTAAAATATGCAGATAATATCTAATATTAACAAAAAACAAGTCTATGCCTGTCTAATGTCTGTTTTCTACAATTAATTAGTAAGAAGTATTTAATTTTGACTAGTTCTATTAGTTTCTAATAGTAGGTACTTACTTACTTAACTATAAAAGCATACTTTAAACAAAACTTCATTCATCCTATCGTTTTTCTTACAAAATGAAATGTTAGTATCAGGTTTAATAATAGTCTCAAAGCAAATGCTTGCCATCATTGATATAGCTGCATTAATATTACCACTGGGTAATGTTGGCAACACTGACGCATCGGCCACATACAAATTTTTCATCCCCACAATTTTGAAAGAAGTATCTACTACAGCATTTTTCGAGGACAGTAACCCCATAGAACAAGTACCTACAGGATGGTAGCTTGTCAATGTCAAATGTTTTATGTAGCAGTCAAAGTATGAATCTGTGAAAATTTCAAAGTTATCACAACCGGGAAAATGAT